TACCACGCACCCCAATTTGATTGAGTTTATGGCGGCCATAATGCCACATGCTCTTGTAGGGGCCCTCTAGCAAGTCACTCGCTCGGAGGCGGACCTGAAGCGCATCCAGAGGAGCCGCTACTATTGACTGAATTGTGCCCGCTATAAGTCCAGCTGCAAATGTGCTTGAAGGTGGAGCAGGTGGGTATACGCGTTTGATGCCTTGAGACGCTGGTTCGTACAAAGCACCAAGGACTTGTAGATAAGATGTATAAAGGACGGCGCCAATCCTATCTATAGCAGTTAGACAACCCATGTAACCAAGTTTGAGGCTAGGTAAACCAACCCAGCATTTGCTAGGAGAGGCGGCATAACTTGATTAGGAATGAAGCGCCACCCGTATGTGCGAACGGCATGGACAAGTAACCCCGGAGTGGTTGTGTGCAGAGACCAACCGGATTTCGCAGAATGAGGATTGACGGCTCTAGCGAAGGCCTAGCGAAATAATAGGAAGAGCCATATAGATCAGTTGACATGGACTCCAGAGATCAGTGCAACCAGGCCGGCGAAGGAACAATGCAACCGCATACCATATAACTGAACGAGAGGATGGGCTGTCAGTGACTGAAAGGACAATATCCAAGAGATAATCAAGAATCATACTCAACTCGGGTGCGAAAAAATGCCTTGATAGGTGCTCTGAAGTAGAATGCAACCAGTTGTGCACTAAGAGCACGCACTCCCGCAGCAGAGGCACCAGTGGCTGCATTCTGTCGCGGATTTCTGCGTGACGAGTTCCCCGAATCCAAGCTCGAGGTATGGTCAAATGTGGGTAATGTCTGAGTAGTGGCCATGCTGAGGCGTGTGAGAAAGCATTAGAGATGATAGTTTATCAGTGATACAAACATAAGCATAGCGCTTATTTCAACAACATTGCCAGCCCGCTCTGCAAGGTTCCATGAAAAAGTTCCTAACTAGAGGCACATTGTACACTGAATGAGGGCTAACTCGTATGGTGAGGACAGCTATGACGAAAACAGATGGTGACTAATGACAGCTTCATATGAGGAGCTATAAGTGAATCGCTCACGAGATACTTAAAATAGTGAATATGAATATTTACCCTTCAGGTGGAGAGGTAGTACGGAAGGGTACTTTTGAGCAAACAACTCAAACATCGCTGATTTGTCAGGAACACTTGAGGCGAAACGCGCCTTCGGAGGTTTCGCGTTTGCGCTACCCTATCTTAGTTTCTTCTACAGAAGTAAGAGCTAGTCAATGAGACCCAATCTACTCTCATTCATTGCTCAAGTGAAGATATCCTCCAGTACATTCATTTCTTTAGCCTTCTGCCAATCTGGTACTTTAAGTATCCCATTACGAAAATCTGCTCGCTGCCCTCCACTAAATTTCATCCTACCTCTCAAGGTTCCCACGGGGACTTTCTGCACAAGCTGAATTGTTTACAACAAGCTGGCAGGCTGCACCCATTGACACACTCACATCATGGCCGAAGAGATTGTGATAGACAAATCTACCTTCTTCAATAGATTATCAAGCTTCTATGGTGCATGGAAAGCCGACAAACGATCTAGTCATGCTAACTTCGGTGGTGTCTCGTCGATTGTCATCCTAATGGGCAAAACCGACGAAGCAAACAGCTTTCAGAAGAACAACGCAATGCACGTATGTCTTCCAATAGCCCTTTATTATATTCTTGTCGGCTCACCTATAATCAATAATAGTTCTGGCTCCTTGGCTATGAATTTCCCGCTACGCTTCTAGTTCTTACAACAGAGATGGTGTATGTGGTGACTACAGCGAAGAAAGGTGATTTATCATATGATATGAATTTGGCAGTGCCTTGATTACTGACATGCACGTTTAATTACAGCTAAGCACCTTGAGCCCTTGAAAGGTGGCAAGATTCCCGTGGAGATATTAGTGACGTCGAAGAATCCGGATGAGAAGATGAAATCGTTTGAAAAGTGCATTGACGTTATCAAAAATGCCGGCGTGAGTCCTACTCTCCACAACTTGAGCGTCCTTGGGTGGAACTGACTGTCCTGGGATAATAAGAAAAAGGTTGGCGTGTTGCCGAAAGACACAACCGCAGGTCCTTTCGCAGAAGATTGGAAGAAGGCTTATGCAACTTTGTCAAATGAAGTTGAAGAAGTTGATATTTCGCCCGCTCTCTCTGCTACTCTCTCTGTCAAGGATACTGATGAATTAGTGAGTTTTGCATGTCTTCGGAGGTGGGACTGGCTAACGCGACAAAGGTATCAATACGTAATGCGTCGCGGGCATGCAGTGGTCTGATGTCTGAGTACTTCGTTGATGAAATGTCTCGCCTACTTGATGAAGAGAAGCAAATGAGCCATAAAGCTCTTTCAATGCGGATTGATGCGAAGATAGATGACGCGAAATTTTTCAACAAGTTAGCAAAATTGCCGGCAGAATTCGACCCTCAACAAATCGATTGGGCATATGGACCAGTGATACAAAGCGGGGGGAAATATGATCTCAAGCTGACTGCGATATCGGACAACAACAATTTGCAGCCGGGGATAATAATTGCTGGTTTCGGCATTCGTTATAAGACCTACAGTTCGATGATTGCGCGCACCTATCTAGTTGACCCAACGAAATCTCAGGAGGCAAACTACGCCTTCCTACTAAACGTCCGCGAAGCGATTTTGAAAGACGTCCGTGACGGGGCCGTGGCTAAGGACCTATACAGCAAGGCGATCAACCTGGTTCGGACAAAGAAGCCTGAGCTTGAATCCCATTTTCTGAAAGCTGTTGGTGCTGGCATAGGAATTGAGCTTCGAGACGCTAATATGATCCTCAATGGAAAGAACGATAAAGTTTTGAAGAGCGGAATGACATTCGCTGTCACAGTTGGTCTGACTGATGTTGAAGATTCGAGCATCAAAGACAAGAATAGAACCGTCTATTCGATGGTCATTACAGACACTGTTCGCGTCGGAGAAACTGGGCCTCTGGTGTTCACGAAAGATGCTGGTGTTGACATGGACTCTGTGTCGTTCTACTTTGGGGATGAAGAAGAGCCTCAGAGACCAGTAAAGGAGAAGAAGGAGGCTAAATCAAGCGCTGTTGCCAATAGGAATGTTACAAGAACGAAGCTTCGTGCTGAACGACCCACTCAGATCAATGAAGGTGCCGAGGCACGGCGACGTGAACATCAAAAGGAGTTGGCTGGCAAAAAGACCAAGGAAGGTCTGGACAGATTTGCCGGAACCACTGGCGATGATAACGGAGTCACACAGAAAAAGTTTAAGAGATTCGAGTCCTACAAGAGAGACAATCAGCTGCCAACGAGAGTGAAAGACCTAACCGTCTATGTAGATCAGAAGGCTTCCACTGTTATTGTGCCAATCATGGGTCGGCCAGTACCCTTCCATATTAACACGATCAAAAATGCTAGCAAAAGTGACGAGGGAGAGTATGCATATCTCCGAATCAATTTCCTTTCACCGGGCCAAGGCGTGGGCCGAAAGGATGACCAGCCTTTTGAGGACCTTTCCGCACATTTTCTGCGCAATTTGACACTCCGGTCCAAGGACAATGACCGACTGGCCCAAATTGCTCAAGACATCACAGAACTTCGAAAGAATGCTCTGCGGCGCGAACAAGAGAAGAAGGAAATGGAAGATGTGGTAGAACAGGACAAATTGGTTGAAATTAGGAGTAAGTATTGCCTCTCAACATTCTGAAAGACGTAGACTGACTAGGTTAGATCGTCGTCCTGTCAAACTGCCTGACGTATATCTTCGGCCTCCTCTGGATGGTAAACGTGTTCCAGGGGAAGTCGAGATCCATCAGAACGGTCTTCGTTACATGTCACCTTTTCGGAATGAACATGTCGATGTCCTGTTCAGCAACGTGAAGCACTTGTTTTTCCAACCTTGCGCTCACGAGTTGATTGTTCTGATACATGTTCATTTGAAAACACCTATAATGATAGGGAAAAGGAAGACTAGAGACGTGCAGTTCTACAGGGAGGCAACCGAGATGCAGTTCGATGAGACCGGCAATCGTAGGCGCAAGCATCGTTATGGGGATGAGGAGGAATTCGAAGCCGAACAGGAAGAGAGACGGCGGAGAGCCGCTCTAGATCGGGAGTTCAAGGCTTTCGCCGAAAAGATTGCAGATGCTGGGAAAGACGAAAGCGTCGATGTTGACATCCCTTTCAGAGAAATTGGTTTCACTGGCGTTCCAAATCGCTCTAATGTTCTGATTCAACCCACAACAGATGCTCTTGTCCAATTGACAGAGCCGCCATTCCTGGTGATTACTCTGAATGAGGTAGAGATTGCTCATTTAGAGAGAGTACAGGTAAGTGGGAACCTTATCACTGGTATTTACTACTCCTAATGTCATTAGTTTGGACTCAAAAACTTTGATCTGGTTTTTGTTTTCAAGGATTTCCACAGGGCCCCTGTTCATATCAATACGATCCCTGTCGAATCGCTAGAGGGTGTTAAAGACTGGCTAGATTCTGTTGATATCGCATTCACAGAGGGTCCACTGAACCTAAACTGGACAACAATCATGAAAACAGTCGTGAGTGACCCGTATGGTTTCTTCGCTGATGGGGGCTGGTCATTTTTGGCCGCAGAGTCGGATTCAGAGGGCGGATCGGACGAAGAAGAGGAGTCCGCATTTGAGCTTTCTGAATCAGAGCTTGCGGCGGCCGACGAGAGTTCAGAAGACGACAGTGAGTTCGACGATGATGCCAGTGCCGAGGCTAGCGATGACTTTAGTGCCGACGAAGAGAGTGGTGAAGACTGGGACGAACTCGAATCAAAGGCAAAGAAAAAGGACAGGGAAAGTGGCCTGGACGATGAAGATCGTGGAAAAAAGCGCAAGCGATGATCTGATTTCGCATTCCACATGACAGCTAGCTGTGAATTTCGAACGAGTGTCTAGTTTGCATCAATCGCTCTCCAATACACAAATTCTACAAAAGGTTCATGAATTGTGATAGTCAATTCCCACGGAATTGAAAGACCAAGATGTTGACATCAATATTCGTGCTACCATAGTTGTCTATCTATAGCTGGTATATGTGCAAATTATATACCCTTGGAGTCCGTCCGTCACTTCCCTTCCCGCATAGCGGACCACATACTCCTCATTCTCTCCGCTTGATCTGGAGTAAAACTCTCATAACAGTCATCAGATGAATAGTCCATAAAATTATGAATAGCATCAAGGCCAGGAAGATCGGGGCATGAATCTTTCTCGGCGGGACATCCGCTCGTAGGCTCAGATTGCTCTGGGGTGTCATCAATGTAATCTCCTTCATTATCAGGGGAGCACGATTCACCTTCGAACGTATGCAGCAGCCCATTCCAATGGCCAACCTCATGAACCGCTGTGCCGCCTTTGTTGTACTGCGCTAAACTACCACCCGGCATGGTATCCGCTAACACGTTACAACCATCCTTGATGTAGCTGGAACGAGGGCTGCTGGAATTCACACTCGGGTCAGGCAACGTACAGAAGCCTAGGACAGTTGATGATGATTGATCTGACACATCTGTTCGTCGGTTACCGTCATTTGGATAGTCCCGAGAATTCTCGTCGGATGACGCCTGGAGATCTGTTTGGAAATAGACATTTAATGTGCCATAATTGCCCCTTCGTAGGGCATTCTTCATCCCCAGTTCATCATCATTTCGCGCCCACGAGTCATTTATGTGACGAGTTATGCCCTCCAACCGATAGGTGATAGTCGCACTTTCATATGCCTTCTGAAGATAGGAAAGCTAGGACTTGTTAGTCCAAAACACGACATTGCGCAGGCATGGGTCAAAAGTTGAATGGTGACGGACCTGGCTGGTGATCATGTCGTCTGATACTGTGTTTGCTGCTTCATTGCTGCTTACAATATGAAACCATGTCTCGATTTCAATCCAAGGCACCACCTCCCGGCTCTCCTCGGCGGTGCTGTCACGTTGGGCCTGTACATCATACAGCCTCCTATGCTCCGCTCGGAGTGACTCACCGGGCGCTGGCGTGGAGCAAAAGTCACGTCCAGAGAGCAGTGCGCTGCATCTGGTTGAAAGATTGGCAACAAGAATGACTGTAAAGAGCGCGTGGAAGTTGAGTAACAATGTCATATTGGTATCGGGCAGTGAAGATTTTCTACTGCACCGAGGACAAAGGACAAGATGAGAATTATAAAATCATAAGCATCATTGCCAACCGCTACGTGGAATCTGGGGAATCCCAAACAATCCCTCGTGTCAGGAATGCTGCATACCAGGGAATTATCCCAAAGAAGGGGTAGACGCGTTTCGCCGAGAAATTTGACACTTTGAGATCGCTCCATCAGGAAGGGCACATCGACTAGCAGGTGCCATCAAAATTTTCCTAGATGGATAGAAATGCCGAAACTATCACGAAAACATAGGCCCACTGGGAAAACCAGTGGGTATCAGATCCTCTTCAGGAACGCCACCTACAAACGCCTCGTATCAATCCACTGTGTAAATTATGTCCGTAGACTAAGAAGAGCAAGGGAAAGTAAAGGTATGCTTCTTAAGTAGCATGAGAGCCAAATCTGCCATCCCGCCCGGTTGCCACAGCCGAGCTCTCCTGCTCATTGTTCCAGGTCAAATAAGTGTGGTCGCCAAGTTTCCTAATAAGTCAGCCTAGGCACGGACAAAATACGTCAAGTTCATCAAATCTCCTTACCTCGGCCGAACAAGATGTGCAATAGTAAACAATGCCCCAAGAACAATGCACAGGCCACCTACAACGACGTAGGCAATACCCATGAATGGGTTTTGACCGCCCATCACAGTCCGTGTTGATATGAGTATCGATTTAGTACCTCCGTACTCAGTGACAGGAAAGCCTGTACGCGGTTAGCGCTAACCTTAATGTTAAGTTATTTCTTAAATCTTACGGTCCTCAATGTCCAGTTGATAGACTCCTGCAGTCATTGCCGTTGTGTCGTTTCTGCGGGATAGCTTACTGAAAGCCGGCAGCGCGGCAGTTCTCATCCATACCATGAACTCTTCGTCTTCATGAAGATTAGGTATACCGTCGACATAACCGTTAGGGTAGCGATCATGCCAATTAGGCGGAGGAACCACCTGCCATTTATTATACTGCGTCTTCTTGATGAGCTGCTTGTCACTGTCCCAGGCAATGCCTTTATTAGTCATGTTGTAGGTCTCTGCAGTCACACCACCACTCAGAAGCTGTGGGCTGCGGATGGTATCGTTAAACTGAGAGTTAGCTATAAGGCCGCATGGATAGTATGCTTTGCCAGTTGAAGGGTCAAGTTTGAGGGGGTCGCAAGAGCCACCATCTATGGTGCTGTTGTCAACTGCTTTTCCTTTCAGCTGGTCTGTGTCCATGGACTTCACATATCTCCGATGATTCTGATAGAAGTTCGTTAAGCGATAATATAAAAGCACAGGTGGCTCCAAGGTATCCGGAATTTTAAAGGTCAATCGACAGATTGTAGTTCCGCTTTCATTGAATCTTTGCCAAGTTGGAGTAGATTGTTCGCCTGATGATTTGAACGAGGATTTGACTTGATCTGAAATCGAAGCCGCATAGGAGGTGGGCGCCTTCTCAGCACATTCAGAATAGTCTATGACAATCTCTTGTACCTGGTGATCGCTTGTTGGTTATCGAGAAGGTGCCCTTTGGGAGGTATTACATACCTGTGAACTGGCCCACAGTAACAAACCACCAATGGGGGCAAATATCACACCAATAACAAAGAAAAGAGGCAGTACGCTCTTTGGGGTCAATATTGGTCTATATGCGTCAGCACGAAAGCAGGATATACCATCTAAGTAGCTTACTGCCAGGCTTTCAAGCGCTGCTGTCTGAAAGCAGTATCTGTGGGAATAAGCTAGTGTTAATGAAGAATAGTTCATCTCATTCAGATCAAGTCAAAGCCTCACTTGCTGGTCTCCTATTCTTAGGCTTCTTATCGTCAACCTCCCCCCTATGTTCTTGGTCGTCCAAAGACTCCGCACGGGTCGCGTCGGGATGGGACATTGTGGTTCAAATCATCCATTAAATGTCCTGAAAGATTACTACAGCAGTTGCAGAAGCACCAGAAGAAGTGATACTCTGGAGAAGTAAATATAATAATGGATACAGAGTGAGAGTGAATGATGGTGGCGCAGGCTTAGCAGGCGACGGGATTGCGTAATTGGCGGGCTTTGACGTCCCGACATCCGCTTGGGGGGACACTGTTACATTGTCATGACCATTATTTTTGTTTCTCGGACGCTCCGAGGTTCCTGTACATGGATCGTCACTACAGGACTGACTAGTGCTACCATATTGTTGACTTAATGATGCCAACGTGTCAATTGAGCAACGAGAACAATCTACCACTCTAAAGAAAAACCAGACGCCATTGCAAGCCGTCAGAATAGTAGTCAGGCGAACGACACAAGAAACACAAAACCTAACCCATCAAAGCCAATTGTTCCAGCCCTTTAAAGACAATAACGCCGGACAAGAATAAGGGTGATTGAAAGGTGTCTGAAGACGCCAAGTGTTAAATCAAATCGATACCATCCGAATTTAACGGCTAACGCAACGAAGGGGAATGGGAAAGTGGAAGAGCAATATAACACCGTATGCAGCCTTGCCACTTGTTGCAGAGAATCCAGCTATGCTCAGTGACAAACGTAAGTACCATATCAATATCCGATGGCTAATTGACGGGAGCGAAAATTGTGAGTTGAGAAATGCATTTGGGCTGATGATAATACAGACATGTGACCATGTCTCTAACGCATCATAGTGGGTGTTACCAGTATATCAATGGGGCAGACCATCGGGATCCGCAGGGTTCGACAGTTCCAAGCATATCATCTTCGATACTGTCGGAAATGTTCGGGATCAAACCAACCAACCCGCTCATACGCCGTCCAGAGCTTGCTTGCTTTATTGACATCAATTTTGCAAGCCTGCTGAGCATCGGTCTTCCGAAATTCCTTACCAACATTCAAAGCCTTCACCCGGGCTTCGAAAATGCGACGCTTGCTGCATAGATAGGTCGCACATGACAGCCTTAAAGTAGCAGCAAGGTTGAGCTCTGCAGAGCTCAGCAAGTGCCGGTCCGGATCATGGCTAAGATCTAACACTTGGCCTTTCCAGTCTGCCTTTAGTGCCTTTGCGTTGCCTCCTAGGGTCTCTATTGAAGGAGAATAGTCCTTGATGGAATTGTAATCTGTGTCATCCCGGTTTGTGCCTATGGCGCGAGGCGGCTTGGCACTCGACGGGGGTGAGTCAAATGTGTCGAGGATCCTTTGCTTCGGTGTGGACTTGGGTGTCCGCTTTACCCTGGGTGTGCGTTGCAGACGAGGCTGGGCAGCAACTGCCCTCTTTGCAGGAGCCGGTGCAATCTTCTTCAGTTTCGCATCTATAGCACGTGGACGACACCGATTCATCATCAAAAGCTGGCGTTCTAAAGTCTCCCGCTCTTCCCTAGCCCATGCTGCTGGGTTCCGGTTAAATTGAGCAGATACAATCGGTACGCATGAAAGGGCTAGAAGATATTCGTCACGCGTCGGCTTGTTAAGTTTATTCTCAAATCTCGCCATGTGAGAATTTATATGTTGGTCAACCAGCGCTTCCGCAGACGGAGGGAGCATGGACCCAAACAATGGCTCATCAGTGGCAATATCAGTAAGGCCTTCGTGGCGGGGGAAGAGAACAGGGTCCCTAGAGGAACCGACGACGGCATCCTTGTCAATCGGTTCTGATCCATTCGATCGCCGTTTCTTATTCCCAGTATAGGGAGTGACCGGCGGCGATGGCAAGTCCATTTCTGACTGTGTTCGCTTGTGATCACTCGGCATAGGAGGCAGCCTCACATCATGGCTATACGACGGATCCTGGGACATTGTATACGGTGAAATTGTGGTGGGACTGAAGCTCTCGAGAGGTTTGGACTCTGGGGGGGACATTAAACTCGAAACAGACGGCAGACGACTCATATTGACCTTATCACCACGACTGGTCAAAGAAGCAGCAGTGAATGAGGTCATCGCCTAGAACAATCTGATGGTTGAATTGCTTCACAGTAGAAAGGTGAGCGGAATACGGGGTGGGACGACTAGCTGAGAATAAATACACGAAATCTGCTTCTGAGGTCAGTTTCAGGCAGTCGTCTGTTTGAAGGCGAAAGAACGTTTGTACGCTGATGAGATGGTGATATGGAAGTCAATGGAACAGATGTTTGGCAATAATGTTGGCAGACACACGTGCAAATGATTTGTCAGGGCCGCCTCTTTGTCTGGTGGCAATAAATGGATATGGCTTAGGTCTCGGCGATAAGGCTCACAATGGCCGAGTAGGCTAGAGTCAATGATTATGAGTAATCAATCTATTTCTCCTGGTGTTTCGTATTGCGTGTCCAAGTTTACTCTCAACAATGTGATTCTCTTGAGGAGCAGAATCAATTAAGACTTGTAGGACAACGAGCTGGTTCCCATCGACGGGTAAAAATCGGCACTCAGGCGTATGAGTCAATGTGCCGGATGGGAACTAAGTACTAACACTGATGAAATACATCAACATTGTTCATGCGGGGTTGGCGCGTGGCAGTAAAGGGGAACCGTGCCAGCGTCTAATCCCAAACGCCCAACACCGGACAGCTGGGGAGCAAGATTAGAGGTTGAGGCTGGTGACCTAGCGCTTGAGCAATTACAAGTCAAATATGAATCAGAAGGAACGGCCTGGCGCTTTGACAGCGAATGATACGATGTTATGGGAAAGCCATATGATGAGAGGGTTTGGTAAATGATCTACCACATGACGACAACAGCCATGAGAAAGCGGGGTCGAGTACTGGGTACTGTGTAATAATAGAAAAAGGGGGGTGGTGGACAAATGCTGTTGGCTGTCTGTTTGGGATCCATTGAGGGGTACCAATTCCGTTTAGCGGTGTACCCACCAATGGCTACTTACTGTGACTGGTAGGCTTTCTCCGGCATGTTAGGCTGAAAACTATGACTACTTCGTACTGTGTACTTACAAAAGTCAGATCATCTGTTGCTGCATTACAGCCTAATACACAGTAGATATAAGCCTAACAGGTTGAATCCTAGCTGACACTGAGCCCCACTGATTCCACTGTTGCCTGACAAGTCAGACTGGGCATCCTTCATGACTTCCCAGTCATCCCGTATTATACACATGGGGTACTTAGCCGTTAATGAGAGTTATGAGGCAGTGGCTCCGTTGACCCTTGCATGAGTAATTAGTAGTGAGTGTATGTAATTGCAGTTCTCCGATCAACAACCTAGCAATCGGTCGTCATCCATTTTCCGTAGGTATAGTACAGGCAATATGTTCAGTGTAACACTGTATATACTTTACCAACAGGCAAATATGCTGCATGTTTCGCTCATGCGCTGATTGTAATAGTTGGCAGTGTGAGCAAGTTAGTCAGTCAGCTGAGCAAGGTCCCAGTCGTGACTTTCCATAATCATAAACAATTACCCTAATGGTGGCAGAATGTAGCCACATTGGCTGGTAGCCTTGTATGTATTTAACTAGGATCCCTGGCCTTAATGATACCCCGCCGCCCGAATCCTTCATGTTTGAGAGCCCTCAGCTAAGAACTTGGAAGTTGTCTTTCTATTATAAACAGTATTGTATAGTCAGATTGTTATAACTCTACAATAATAATTCCATGGCATTTTGATGACAATTACTTTATACCTACAATAGATCGGAACAGACCAGTCTATGAGACTGGGACCCTTTGGAATATCTTGTAATCTGGTCTACAAGTTATGATTTTATTGATAATATTTATCATCTGTTGGATTATATGGATTAAACAATACTGATTTATTTTATCTATATGATAGGATCTACTTGTCAGGATAGAAAGCCTGTCGACTAGGTAAGGAATCAGCTAAAAAACACTGTAGATGCATCTAATGGTAATAAAGATAGTTTAATGTTTATATATAATAAACTAATTCTTACAGAATCAGTAAATAACATAAGAGATTGCAATCTAATATAAATATTGAAATAATCCTTGAATGTTATAAATAATCTTATCATTTATAAAATCTGATATTATTATAATCCTGAATGTATTTCATCTTCCAGTATAATCTAATTCTAGTTTATTATATTATTTTCTCCTCCCTGAACTAAAGTACTGAATTTAATATATAAAGATAATTAAACTAATTTTATATATTGTTAGAAGAATTGCAAAAAAATATCAAGTAGATTAAGTTTAAATTTACAGTGAAATCATTATAATAATGATGATAATATCTAGAATAATAATAATTATATATAATAATTTATATAGCAATTATTATAGCAATTATAAAATAAAAATTAAAGATACAGTAGAAAACTATAATATTAGAAAATATTATATAAAAAATATTAATCTTTTTAATTTCTCATGTTCCTCTCCTTGTTATTCTATATTTTCATTATCTTTTGCTATTTTTAATTTATATTCCCAGATATTTTAATAATATTGAAATATCTCTAATATATTTTACTTTTTCTTTTAATCATTATTCATTAATTAAAGAATATTTCCTAGAAAAAATATATACTATAATCATAGCAGCAGTAGATTATTTTCTTATAATAATAATAAAAATAATAACACTAAAACTAGCAGTAATAATATAAATAATAAAAAGGTAGAATAAGCCAGTCATATCTTATTCATTAAATATTATTAATACATATATAATAAACTACTAAAACTTACATTTCTTTAATATCTTTGTCATTCTTATACTACTATTGAATAATTTAAGTCTGAGAAATAAAAGATATAGAAAAAATTAAAAATTAATTGTATATAAAGTAATATTATATCTATCCTATATTACTAGTATACTATTAGAGTAATTTTAACAAAATAATAGTATTTTGATATGTTTATCAATATTAATTCGAATCTAGAACATCAAGAAAGTTTATAAAATTAAAAGATATCAAGAATTCTTTAAACTTCTCTAGAAAATGAAGTTCTTTATTATTTAAAGATATTTTTATCGGAACAGTAGGAGTTTGAATATTATTTTTATTTAATTTTAATTTGAAAAATAATATATTATAACTTGCTCTTATCCATGGCTATTAACTGATATTTAAATAATATTTCATTATTATCTATAGAATGTTTTTATCAAATGATATAAAATTTATAATAGTAATATCAATAAACTTTTCTTCTTACCTGAAAATAAATAAATATATAGTTTAATTATTTATGAAATATATATTTTATATCAGTATTAAGAAAGATTCAAGCTTCTAAATTTAAAGATAAAAAAACTAAATAATTATATTATTACTATATTAAGAAATTTCCTAGTTGATTATATTTCTAATAATATTCTCTGACTAATTAAATAATTTTATATCCCAACAACTTAATATCTGAATTAAATAATACTGATTATCTAATATAGTAAGCCTTAATATTTATAAGGTAATCATAGTATTTTTAAGATAACTAAATTTATTTATATAGAAGTTTAGTTAGATTTTAAAACTTTCTAATATTACTAGTCTTTTTGTTTATTTATGAATATTCTCTTATATATTTAATATAATTTTCATAGAGATTTATTAATGTATTTACTAGACTATCTCTTTTATTTAGTTAAATAATAATTGATATTATTGTAGTACTGGTAATCTTTAATTTTTTTAATTTTCTTATTAATTATTGTTATTTGAATCAGGCATGGGGCGTGTTTTACTTTTTTAATCCAAATATTGTTATAATCTTGATAATAATATATAAAAGATATTATAGATCTGGTTATTATTGAAAAATAAAATATTATTGATATATCTATAGTCTGATGTATTTTAATATTCAGAAAATTTATAAACTATAGTATCAATTCAAATAATTTTATGGAATCTCGGATTTTTTAGATAAATAACTTAATTGAGGTCTTTTCTCTAAATCTGAATAATTTTTATAATTTACTATAATATTTGTATTATTATTCATCAGTATTTATGCAGTTTTCTTGAAGCTCATAAAATTTGACAAATTAATTTTATACAGCCGGAATAACTTCTTATTAAAAACTATTTTTATTATAGAGGTAAAAATCTGGTATAAAATATAGTAAAATCCTATTTAAAAGATTACTCAGTTATTATATCTATAGTATTAATATATATATTATGCAGTAGAAAATAGTATAGACTAAAGTTTATCTATTCCATTTAATTATTAGTTTAGAAATAAATAT